TCTGAAGTTAGGCGCATTGTGTTCCTTCGAAACGTTTGGATCTACCACACACGTCGTTACATCCCCAGAACAGCAAAATCGACATCTTTGCCGTGAACGAATGTCGCAGTCGAGTAGTTAACCATTTCTGCTTAGTGTCTGGGAGGTATCCCAAGTGCTGGTTATTGGGATGTTCTTGTACAACAACGTTTTTAAACTTTGATGGCACCACGAACCCCGTCTCAAAAAATGATCTTATACATTCTAATCAAATAGAGAAAGAATTGACTAAAATATAGATTGAAAGTGTAGCTTTTTCGTCATATTTTGTACTCGAATGTGAAGCGAAAAATGTGATGAAAAGCGTATAACTAACATCAATAAGTATAAACGTACGTACTGTCTATGCAACTGTTGGATCCCTCGGGCACAACTTGCGTATCCCCAGGGATATGCGGACTCTCGGTTGAGAAACGCTGGTCTATAGGAATTCATCACACAGGATTCAGGAGTTTGTTTCTCGCCACAGCGCTCGCTGTGTTCTGTGTTCGGACAGCCTGTTGACCTAGCGGGTAGTGGCACTTGAACAGGTGTCGTTATGCAACTCCGCTGCTGCTAACAGCCGGAACCGATCGCGAGTCAAAGAGCCGTGACCAGGAAACGTGTCTTCAGATTAACTCCATTGCTTTCTTCGCATACACAGTACTCACACAGTTGTTAATGGACAGTTCCTGTCTGCCACTGGCTCTGTGATGCGGTATGTATTCACTCGAACAGTAACACTGGGAAGTATTTCTACGATAAGATATGAAGTTCTCACAGCGATTGAATGCAGTGAAAATTTCTTGGGCGATCGGCCGTGTAAATACGTGCTTGCTGCCTCCATCATCAGAGCTCTTATCTCCCTGTTAATGCCCGCAAGCACCTCAGAAACGTCGCCAAACGTTTACCAGACTACATGGCGCTGCAACCCAGAAGACAATCATCTTCTTAATTGCCGCCGTGAGAACGTGAAATGTCGCCATTATTTAGTGACTACCTCCTGAATACGAGACAGACATTGAGTGAACAAGGGACCGGACGTGATCGGTTTCCTTCATATCATCAACAGTCTCGTACCACGGTACTAGAATGAAATTAGAAGCATGCTCTAGACACTGCCAACTTCCCTATGACACTACCGATTTTTAGTACATCAACTGGAATAAGAATTAAATATTACTGTTGGTTTCGTCTTTTTTGCGTAAAGGGGTGCTTGTGGATGAGTTAGTGTTCTTATAAATGGAACACACTGTAGAAATCTCACCTGCTGGGTGCTTCTTTAAAACAGTGTATATTGCCTCCGCCCTATCTGGGCAAAGAAGGTGCCTGAGGACCACAGTGGTAAGTCATTGCCCTGTTTCTTCGGTCTGGTTGTCGCCTGCTTTTAATGTATCTTGAATAGATTAAGTTTTAGTCGTGAGGCGAAGCGAAAGCGGACAGTAGACCACTCCGTGTGTCATGACTTGCTGAGGAGCCTCAAATTAAAAGAACGGGGCCCTGCAGTGAATGTATCCAAGAAGAGTTGTGTCCGTGCGTCTTAGTGTTTCGTCCTCGAGGGACTTAATTTGGGAGGAGGGCGCAACACTAAGCATTGTAGGGCGAATTCAATTTTAATGCACAGGTTTCGAGGGGTATATTTGGTTGTGAAAGAGGAAGTGATAAAGACTGACGTAGGAAAGTACATAATGAAGTGTTCCATAATTTTTTTATTTGATGATTGTTGTTATTGCGTAATTAAATGAATTAGGATGAGAAGGGGAGATACGAAATGCATACTGAATTTTAATCTTAAAATCTGAATGAAATTGACCACTTGAGATTAAGATTGATCTTAAAAGCTGGATGTGGAGGATTCTACTGGATTAAACTGGCTAAGTAAAGGATCCAGTGACGGGTTGGTTTGAATTCCTTAGAACACGGAGGTTTTTCATGATTCTCTGCAAGATTTTCAGAAAGGGCTTTTATTCATGAAGTTAATTTTGGGTACAAGAGGCTCATACTCCACATGAAGTTCAAATAGAACTTGTCGGTTTTCTTAAAGCGGCTGATTTAAAAATGACTAATAATAACCGCGTCGCCATTTCTAACTTGATGTTACATTGCCTGAGCATCTGATGTAGTCAATTGAATAAAAATTCTCTTGGATATTATTCATCGTCTAGTAAATATAAAACGTAAAACGACGTTTTCGGAGATGGGACTCTATCTCCGTCTTCAGGTTCCTACACAGTTGGGCCCACTAGATAGAGCTAATCCGGTCCGGAGATAGGGATTAGCTCTATCTAGTGGGCCCAACTGTGTAGGAACCTGAAGACGGTGATAGAGTCCCATCTCCGAAACGTCGTTTTACGTTTTATATTTACTAGACGATGGATAATATCCAAGAAAATTTTTATTCAATTGACTCTTCACCATCGTCAAGAAGTTTTAGATTTGATATCTGATGTAGTGTCTAAACGAAGATGCAACAAAATAGCTGGCACAGTTTTGATTTATTGGAGTTCTAAACGCTAACAAAGTCTTCGACATGCTTCGGCCTCTGTATCGCGCAACGGATTACTGCGATTCTCACGATCTTTGTGATGCGCCTTGCTTTCAGACACCTGACGTCCATTTAATGAACAACTGGGCCGTTTCGAAGCCACTTTTTGTTCATCGGTCTAGTTTTGTGAACAAAGCGAAAGATTACTTCTTTAGCCGCTGTTAGCTTTATTGCACCTCCAAATGCGATAGAAAGAAACGTTTTGCTCTGTTGGGCTCCAAATATTGACATTATTTTGTTCAAAGGCAAATAAGGTTTGCACTTTGTGACCGATGGACTGAATGATCTTTGTACTAGAGGCTGACAATCGACTGTCTACTTTGTGCCTACTTTATCCCCGTGTAAGATCCCCTGGGAATCATTGATCCCAGAGCTGTTGTTGAGACGGAAAGTGATACGGGACCGGAGGATGTTGAATAATGTGCAGTTTTGTCATTTATACTCTCGACCACACAATTCGATATTACGGCTATCATTGGGATTGGTGGGCATGCAGAATGCGTGAGAACTAGAGAAATGCGCACAGCAGTTCAATTGGCAAACCTGAATGGAATTACTCGGGAGCCATAGTAGTTTTCTGGAAATTTGTTGTGAGGATATGGACTACGATAGTCTGGACCGGGATGATGTGTGATGAGCTCTTGTGGACACGGTAGAGAATCTTTCCATAAAAGGCTGGGAATTTCTTGAGTAGCCAAGCGACTGTTTAGCTTCGTAATGACTCTGTACCATGTACGTACATAGTCTGTATGTTGGTGCATTCTCTCGGTTTTGAAATTTGTCATTCGCAAAGAACACGTTTGGAGGATAGAGTGTATGAACGTGCTGAAGTACACCTTCAATTCTTTTCAACTTGGTTTGATTCGTCATCTTCTGAACAATGGATGCTGCGTCTGTCGGAGTGAGAGATGTGTGCCACCAATAGGTATTCTACGGGACTTGCTATGTGGAATGGAGGCCGAGGTCAGCCCCTGCGAACAGCTGGAAACTGTGACGTTGGTCAAAGGACGGTCCATCATCACCAAGTCGTGGCTGAAACTTGTTATATCCTGTCTTCAGGAAATATCTCCAATAAATGTTAGTTGGTTTTTTGTTGTGTTTGCGTTCTTGGTACAGAGATTTGAATACACGTTTAATCTCCCAGTAGGGCGGACTTTGATGCCCTTTGACATTCCATGTCGACGCCAAAAGGTTTCAGGCGGTTTTATTCTGGTTCGTGGATCTGAAATATAGCTCCCGGTTTTGATGTGGACCAAATAGTTCTTCACCGTGTTTTTAAAACGCGGCTCATCCCAGGAGATGCTGTGCTTGATAAAATACTGAGGTAGATCTCATTGAGATCCTCAGATTTTTATTTGAAACGTTTTTATTTGGGTTTATGTGTATTTAACGAAAATACAATGGAAGTTCTATGTACTGCTTTAAGTAAAACTCTCCTCGAATTCTGCACTGAATATTTGTGGTTGAGAGGAGTGAAATCCTTGAACCGTGACGTCTCTTGTCTTGAGCCGCTCGCAACGTTTGTTGCCTTTTCGTGTGTTCAGCAGACTTTTGTTCCTGAACACGTGAAGGGTAAATACTTCAGTGGATAAGTCTCCTTTAGTTCACTCAGCTAGTCAGGAAATTCCCTGATTTTTACGGAACCCGGAGATTCATTAAATTTCTTACAATATCTCACCACCCGCCTCCTTCTGGGACAAAGCTGTTTTATCCTAGACTGTTATGACCCAGTCACATTGATATTACATACGGGATTTTAAGTAACGTGTTGACGAGGCGACCTCCGTAAGTGGTCGGTTCAGAGGTTCCTGAGGACAGATAGGTGGTGTCACACGACAACCGCTTTGTTCAGTCACTCTCCATGTGGGTCACTGGGTTTTCAACACAGGAACTCAAGGCTGGTGTATATTATTACACAACTTTCATTTGTATTCATTTATGTGAGGGGTATATTGTGATTACCTTTGTGCCCGTCCTTATATTTCATCTCCAGAAGTAACAGGATTTTGGTAAAATGTAACGGGAGTCCGCACAGAAGCTGCCAATCGATCTTAATATTGGTCGATATCGGTCAAATATTACAACCCCTGAGTTCACATTACACGAAGCTTTTTTAACTAAGAGTGGAAAGGTGTGGGATAGTCGTGATGTTGATTGTGTTGCGCGTACGTTTGAGTTATGGCGCCTTATAGTATTTTTGCTGTACGCCAACGTTTCGGAGGTACATACTGCCTCCATCGTCAGAGCGATTGTAGTTTCTGATGCTGAGGATATAGGTTCCCAAACTGAAATCGCGACCCAAGTAAGGGTCGTGAAGTTTCATAGGAGTTTTTATGCTAATCGGTGCTCAGGGTTTGACTGTTTGGGTATTCCGAGAATAATTGATTGAGGCCATCGCAATCTGGGCCACTACGAAGTGATCTGTTTTCTGTTACAGGTGAGGCCGCTGCATGACTCGTACCAGGCGGCGCTAAATGGTCAGCTGACGGAGGCCATGAACGTGTTCTGGGCCGAATGTTACGAGGGTTCGAAGACCGCGGTTCACCGGCGGAACAGGGAGATGGGCGAAAGCAAGCTACGCTTCCAGGTACTTCCACATAGTCAGTGTATTCATAATACATACAATTTTGCTCTTGTAATTGGACTGAGCCATCTCGACGCCGTTCTCACTCGTTTCAAACGGGCTGCAGCTGAACCACACTCGCAATCTCTCACTGTCTGACCTTGAGGAGACCCGTCTGTAGCAGTAATGCCAATCGTGCAACGAAAATATTCTAATATTGCGAATATTTCTTTAATATTTGTCGCTTATAAAACGAATAAGTTGTAACTGATTAGCTGTTCCGAAATTTATCTTGCTGCTTTCTCTCCAGAAAGATAGGAATACAAATATTGTGTTTCATACGTAGACATTCTTTCACTTCATTAGAAGTTATTTAAAAAATACTGCAATAATTTGAACTTTAAGGTGAATTAACAGACAAGTGGATCGAATTTTCTGACGAATAACTTATTCTTTCTCTACCGTGTTATTCTTATCGGCCGGTCTCATGCTTGCACGTTATCACAGACTGACACAATAAATGCTTGTAAAAGTTCTGTTACTTCGAAAGACAAGAAGCCGTGAGTGTTTGGATAATTTCCGTATGTATCTTAGAGAATTTATTTAAATCGTGGGCTGTGATCTATGTGACCGATTTTCGATTCTGGTAGGGATTTTTCTTTTCGCAATCGCTGTGGTAAGACTGCTTCCGGGTCCTACTTCCCTGGCATTTATTGTGTAAGCGGCCGGAGCGTGAATCTGTGCCATGTTAATAATGCGTGGAGATTTACCGTCCGTTCACCATTTTAGGTTAGGTTAACCGTGATTGAAGAGTGAAATCTTAGCCCAGGGCAAGGTAGCACATTGTCGGAAGTAGTTTGAAGCAGAAATGTAAACATTACGCAAGAGTCGCTTACTTATTCTGACTAAAGAGGCTGAAGAAATGAAGACTAGCGAATTGTAAGTTTATTTAACGAACGTAATGACGCTTCCTGCTTCAGGCGTGTTCCACCTCTCTCTGTTGATTAAAGCTAAATTTGAGATTACGAAGACGACTGACTTGTCGGATATCGCGCCATGTAGTGTGATGGAAATTGACCGACGTCTCAGACGTTCTTACTACTTCCATCATCAGGGTGATGATTGAGGCTCTGATAATGTAGACGGTAAACACCTCTGAGACGTCGGACAACTTCTGCCACTCAAGGAGGCGCGCCATTTCAGAAGATGGTCATTTTTAGAGCTAGTTAGTTACTCTTCTTAGTACAAGGTCATGATGATATACATTTATTATTTACCTCGGCGTTAGATGATGTCACTTCACCCCCGTTGTGCGTTTAATGGGGTGCTGAGTGGGCTGCATAGACAGTCTGAACACGGCGGTTGCAAAGAGAGGAACCCCGGCTGAAGGCCTCGCAATTACTTTACTGATTCTGTGATGTAAGAAGTTGTAAGGAATGTTTTAAAGGACCGCCTCTGAATTTTGTGGCTATTAAAGACGCTGTGTCAGGCGTGAAAATTATAGCTTCGTCGACAGAATTGTATTATTTTGAGATGGTTGTGGCCTGTTGAAGGTGCTGTCACACGCCTGGACCTGGGCCTGTAGGGAATGACGTTTCACCATGCCGTTCGGTCTTGTCAGAGGTCTCATGATATTCGATGACCCGATTGCGTTCACAGTATTTATATTTAATCACTGACGGACTCGAATTCTGTTATTAAATATCGGTCTGGCTTCCAACTACAAGCCCCTACTTGAAGATATAATTGACGCATGAGACGTGTTGAAATGCGTATAATTCGCAGGAATGAGGAATGTGTAGAAGGATATGGTGAGATGGCGATGGATTGTAGGAAATTTAGTTTTTTTGGTGAGAGGTTGGTGGTCCTTGTCCACTGACCGATTTGGATATTAGCGGAGTTGAACCTTCGGGTTCTGCTGCCCAGAGTCAGCTAAAGTAAGCCGTAGTGACTGACTTGAGAATGCATCCGGCCCACTTCAGCACGAGGTGGCAGGTGAGCGGCTCGGGGTGCTGGTATTCTGTTCTGTTAAGGCCCATGAGGTAGGCACAATCTTAGCGAACTTTCCACTCTTGTTTGGAAAAAAACAACAACTTTGGCTATACACAGCTACATAAAGATTGCATTGTTCACATCGGCCCCGATGTTGATACTTTTGATGGTAAAAAAGTTAGGAGATATGGCGTCAGATTGACCTCCTATAGCGTGACCTTCATACCGAGTTTCATAAACTCTTGCCAGCAGGGACAGAGACATGCATCGCCATGATGATTCAAGCCTCTGCGCTTGTGAGGCGAGGGAAGTAGGCTACGAACGAAAATGCGACTTTAACGACAAAGACGTCGAGTTCTTTACACAGGAGCGAGATTAAAACCGTGTGCTTCCAGAATTCAAGTTTAGACGGTTGTAGTATTAATGTCACAAACGTTTGGTTTAACCTAAGATACCCACTCTGACCCCTGCTGTTAAATCTGATAGCATTGCAGCAAAATGGGAACCCGTTCAAGATTAATTTTATTCGAAAATGTGTTCTGGAATGTTGCTCCTTTGAAACATTGGTCAACATTTACCAGATTACGGCGCAGTACACCAGAAAACAGCCACGTTCGTGCACGTCGCTGTGAGACCCTGACAACTTACCTAGATTTTATTTATTTATTGTTTATTTTACGATGTTTCCAGTAATTCAGACTGTAGCGTCGATTGATAGGATGGTTGGAGGCGGTCGTGGCTTAATTTAAGGTAGGAGTGAAGTATGTACGCGATTTTCAACGTAATCCGCAGCAAGTACATAGGAGTTTGATCCAGAGTTCTAGCGGGGCCATGGGTTTAGTGTTTCCACGTCTAATCCACACTCCAGGAAGTGTTTATTTCCGGCTAGAAGTTCTTAGAGTCGTGTCTTTCGAACCTTAAGTGTGCCAACTTGGGAAACAATTTTCTTCTATGCGTTTCAGTTCTTAATACGCCTTTTGCACGTCATTGGACTATTCAAGATAAAGTTTTAAACGGGTATGACTTCTTGCAGTAAAGTGAGGAGAGACACGAGACTGCAGGCTAGTAATTAGTTTGACAGCAGTGTGACGTTGAATGTTTGTTTTCACTTTTGCAAGTGTTGTTGCCAGCCCTAATTTTAGTTTCAAAATAAAAAGAGCATGGATGTCCATGTAGCTTTCGAAGTAAGCGAACCCAGATTTGTTCTTGTGAGACGTGTGACTCTGATATCCATCGTTAGGGAACAGACGAGTTCTGCTCTCGGATGGATCAAAATGAAAGTAGCAATTAAGTTTACGCGATGAAAGTTGCTAACACACTTCGCGCATTAACGCACCTTTCGTGTGTGTCTTGCGTTAATTGTAGACTGCTGGGCTACGTTATCATGATCCCTCAGCGTTCCAGTCAGGTCGAGACCCGATCTAGCGAAGGGTATTTTCCGTTCAGACTCTTCAACATATTTAAGTGTTTAAACTTGTAGCAGCTCTTATCATCTCTCACGACTCAAATTACTGTAATCAAACAGAGGAACCTATGTTTATTTCGTTGTCGGTGTCGTTTTGAGGGAAGAGATCACTTGAAAGACCTGGGTATAGATGGAAGGGTAAAAAGAACTTAGGACTTAGTACGATTTGAGGTTTTCACGGCTATGAGTTCGATGATGACCCTTCTGGGTTGCAGCTCCGTGCAGTCTGGTAGACTCATTATTTGATGATGGAGGCAGCAAGGACCTCTGAAACGTTGCTAAACGTCTACCATATTACACGACGCTGCAACCCAGAAATGAAAACATCAAATTCATTTTAAAAGTGTAACTATATTTCGGCACGAAACAGTTCCCAGAAGACAGCCATCTTCGAATTAGGACCCGTTTCATTTGGCCAGAATCCGCCATTCACGTAGAATAATGAAATGGGGCACATAACGTGTAATAATAAACGTTTTATCAGTTTTGCTCGCCTAAATATCTGAAGGATTGTTTATGAGTCGGAATGTCTTTTCAGTAGTTTTCGTTGTGTTCACACCGCTGCTAGTGCATTCGCGCCGTGGTGCTTAGACCACACGCCTCACTCAACTGACGGAGAAGTTGCCGGGAGACACGGCGTTTGCAAGAAATAAGTTGACTTTCAGACAAATGGCATTCTTTAGACAGTCGATGGCTTAACAAATTCCTTTCGTTGTGGCTTCTTCTTGTTCGTCTTTATCCTGAACTAGTTTAGTCCACTTATATATATTCACTGTTATATTTATTTAAAATTATTTTATTTATGTCCTGTGTCAAATATTCTAAGAGGTTTCCTTGCTATGAGGTGTTCCGTTGAGCGTTGTACACATCTCCACTTTATTCACGAGTGTGCAGATCCTTTAAATGTTTCTGTTTTCTGTTACCTGAATCATTCTACGTGAATAAATATTAAAACTTTTTATGTATTATCACGATTCCTTCGTACTGCCTCTATACTAGGCCCGAATCTTACCCTCAGCACTTCGTTTTAAAGCACTTCTATATCTGTTTTATTCGTAGAGTTAAAAAAAACTAAATTTTACATCATTATAGAAACAAGAAAAGTTTTGGTTGCATTTTCTCATCTAGTACACGAGGTTAGTGTCTGAGCTGTACCTTCACACTCGTATACATCTGTATGGCGAGATGCAAAGTTTTGTACCGTAGACAAATGTGCCTTTAATTATTTTACAAATTATGTGTGGTTTTAACCTGGTCGTGGTTCCTTATCAGATCGTAATACAGGCCTGTTAACACGACTTCAGTTTCACGGACCGACTTCTGCTTAAAATTTGGAAGGGCACCGGCTGTCCTCATCGAATATTGTTGTGGTTTTCCTCAGTCATCCCATGCAAGCACTAACATAATACGTTAAAATAGGCCATGACAAGTTAATTTCTATATCATTCGTGATCAACTGGTAATCGTGTACTTCGCTGAATGGGTCCATAAGTATAGTCGCCGTGGCTCTTAGACAACAGTTTACACGGACATGTCAGAGAAGTTGCCACATTAGCATGGCGCTCCTTGTATCGTTGATTGATATTTGAGATTGAGCTCCGGGCACAACTGCGAAGTAGTGACCGGTGACTGTCAGCTTATCAAGAACGTTGTTCCGTGGAGTTAGTTTTACCTGTTAGGAAGAGTGCTTACATCAGTGACGTTAGCATTTGTTAGACATGTAACGAGCATGTGGGACATTTGAAATGGATGCATTTTCGCTCGCTAACCACTTGGAAATTTGCGCAGGTGCATGAAATGTAAGCGAATCCCGAGCGATCGTGGAATAAACTGAACGACAGAAGATAAGGTCCAAGCTGAAGGCGATGTATAGGGCTGCTGAATTGCTTTATCCGGGCCTTAGGAGCTTTATTCTTTATCGTGTCAAATCGTGCGGCCATGTTACGATACGGAATCGTTTTCCTCCAACCGAATTTTATTAAATTGTGGATTTGGGATTCCTGCCTGAATGTCTTTTTGGGCGAATTAGAACAATTTAATATTAGATGTTGTCTTCGTCAGTAAAACTGTCTTCTGTTTGTGGCTGCAGTCCCAGATCATGGCGCCGTTCCGCCTGCGGCAGGCAGAGGACACCGCCCGATACAACAATCTAGTGAACCAGCAGCGTAACCAGGAGCTCCTGGTGCTTCGCAAGTGGCGTCATCTGAAGCAGTTCTTCATCGGGCCGCGAGGAGCGTGGCGGTCAAGGTAGGTGATCGTCATTGTCTAACTTTGGCTACTTCGTGAAACACAACTCTGAAGTGTGTATCAGGGTCACGTGGTTCGTACACCCATTCTAGCTACTGGTTATTGTTCGTATTTACAGCGCGAATCTGCCTCCGGATATTTTACGAATCGTCCTAGTTCTTGAGATCCGCCAGCGATAAGTGTTTCCCAATAACCCAGATATCCATTAACCCATTAAAGTCTAGTGGTAACTATATGTACCGCCTACTTTAAGAGTTAATAATTATGCTTTTGTGTTTATGGGTTTCATATGATTTTCAGATTAAGGTTATTTCTCGAAACAGCATTAACCGTTTGATCTTTGAAATGGGGAAGTGTTGTTTCCTTTGAGGTACGGTCTTTGATAGCATGGCTCTGAGGGGAATGTTCGGACCCAAGCGGGATGAACCTGCCGGAGGCCGGAGAAATCTGCTTGAAGAGGATGTCCGTAACTTCACCATATATTAGGATCGTCAAGTCAAGGAAGATGAGATGGGCGAGGCGTATAGCACACAGGGACAGATAGATATCATTGGTGGTGACTACTAAGGATATTTATTGCAGTTATGTTTGTTAGAGGGAAATCTGCCTCAATACCGCTTTGCCTTACAGCTAATAAAATGATTTTGAAACTTCATCTGGGAGAGGTTTGAAAGGAAGGTTTTGAAACTGAGGAAATCAAACCAACGAATAATGCCGGCAAAGTGGTGTCCTGTTAACAGATTCTAACCCGGGACCCAGTGAGTGTTGTGTAGGAGTAAACGGAAAACTGAAAAATATAAATTTAACGCGTCGTTTTTTCCGTCAGTAGTCGTTGCAACAGTGAAGATGTTGCTCCATGTGGAGTAAGGTCGCCTGAAGGTTTCGGTGTGCTGTGCTACATAAAGACAGGTTCTTCTTCTTGTTCGTTCTGAGACTCATCACGGAGCGATGGTGCACTCGCTCAATGAGTGGGCAGATTCTGAGGGGAGAACATCGCGTGCGGTTCGCCTCAATGTTTGTAACTGATAACGCGTCGGACTGTTAAGAAGTGCGATGGATGACTTGCTTGTTTTCTCGAAAGAACTCAAACAGGTCGCTACTCTTTGGTGGTGTAATGGTTCATGGCGTCTAATTTTGAGATTGTTGAGCTCTGGGTTATTTTGTAGACCGCCCGGAAAGTGCAGATGTTTTGTGTAATAATGTAGGGTCCTATTATTTTCCTATCACGTTCATTTGCAAGATAATATTAATAATCGGCCTGTCATTTCTCTCTACAAGTAACTTGTGTTTCTTTTTTTGATTTGGCAAGAGGGAGTAACACAGGCGAAGCGAGATTTTTACAGGAAAATTATATAGACTGTGAAGTGTGCTTGCATACGGAAGTTTCAGTTGACAAATCTTTACGTGGTTGAAGTTTTGGATAAATGAATTATCGCTCTGGTATTGTGTGATGTGATTTGGGGCAGTCAGCCCCCACCCCCCCACCCCTCCCGTCTACACCAGCCCGTTGTTTACTAATTTCACGTGAGTCGGGTAAGTTGTGTGTGTGTGTGGCGAAACTGGAATGGCTGTCGCAACTCTGGGCGTGTTTCATCAAGTTGTACAAACACTGTGGATCTAATCCGCTCTTGTGGTGCAAAGTGTATGCATTGGTGAAGGCAAAGAATCTTGCTTTCAAACTGGTATAGTGATTGGATGCAGACTGTATGGGTTTACCATCAGTGTCCAGAACCCACTCAGACTCTTAATCTGAGGTAAACTGGCTGAAGCGTGAAGCTGATTACTCTCCTCCGTCGGATGTGGGGATTACAAATTTGTGAAACTTTACCTACACAACCCCTCATACGTTTTCATGGTGTAATCGTCAGGTACAAAGGTAACTTTTGCCCCCAAAATAGTACCTTTGTCATAAGCTGTGATGGATTCATGTGTCTCAAGATATGGGTAAATTGCAGTCTCTTTTGAATAGGGTAACAAAGCTTTTAGTTCCACAAAAGTCTGTGAATTCCTTGACCAGCTGAGCCAGTATTACGTTTTCCAAGAGGACCTTGCTTATGGAGTCCGTCTTTTACTTTCTTGCCAGGGACATAGCGCTCTTTTTCAAGTGCCTACATTGGCTCCAGCTGTCCTCAACGGTTGTAGTTTCAGGTTGACAGCGAGTTGATAAGGCAGCAACTTTCTTCATTATTTGGCTTTTGTTAGTATGAGCAGGTTACTGGAAGTGTATCATAGCTGACTTATATTCGGGAAGTACCCGGTTCGAATCTTGCATGCAATATTTTTTTTCTCATTTACTGACGGCGAATTTGTAGTTCTCCATAAAAACATGCCTCTTTATCTCGACCATTTTTACAGGACGGTGTCCGTAACCATTCTGTCATCTGATTGTACGAAAACTAACCCCTACACCCGATACGTCGTTAGATTTCCAACGGCGGAGTTAAAATGTTGAGTGTGTGATTGGGCGCGCCCGGATTATTGGGTTGTCCCTTGGTGCCGATGTTGAAATCGTTCTTTGCAACGCGAGTTGCGACATTGACGGCTCGCGGGGAACCAGGGCGGGGCACACAGCCCATCTGACCCACATAGCGCAAGGCCCACAGGCCACGTAATGCGAGAAATATTTCATATTGCCTTGTGTCGAACCTCAGACTCACGAGGCATTGCATTAAGGAACGGGGTCCTCAGTGCTGACCCATTGAATTTATTATTAATCTGCATCTTGGCGTAAAGATATGTCCCTATGTCCGTACATCAGCATATCCATTATTTCTGAAAATACTGAACGGATTTCTGCGAACTTCAGTTAGTGTCAAGTTTGTACCCTATACAGAAATTTTCAGTTCACTTTGATTTGGTGCACACTTACTCTGTATGGAACTCAAATCGATCTTTATCGATTTCCTGTATATGGCTCAAGGCATAACATTCTTACATGATGTAAAATGTAAGTGTTTCAGGTCGACACTTTAATGTACAGTTTTTTATATGTGGCTATACAGACACTCTTTATAAGGAACTCAGTTCAATGAATGAATGAATGAATAAGTAAGATTGTGTTTCATTTTGTGCACTGTGATATCTGTAATGTGATTAGATTGGCAGCAGTGGATTTGTTGGCCTAAATACAGTAACATCAGGGTCACGCTTGTATGTATTCTGTTTTATTAAATTTTTTCCCATTTCTACCGACAGCACATCTTAGTTCCGCGAGTTTCGATATTATTTATTGTTACTGTATCATCATCATTATCATTGCATTGGTGGGTTCTTACATTATTTAATGTAGCTGTACGGACTAAGGCGGTTATGTACCTCATAGGCGCACGTTTGCGGGTAGCACTGGCCTCTTAGTGGACACGGAAACAATTCAATTTTTCTTGCAGAGCGTAAGAGGTCAGACAAAATTACCGACTGTCAAGGCATTTCGTTGCCATTGTTCTGTAAAATGTTAACGAACGCGATGTTTTATATCCTGAACTTTTAATATGGTCATGTGTTATACTGTTACAACTAGACAAGGAGCGTAAGACGCTCTGCTCCAGGATCCAGTGTGTGAAGTGAAAGTGAATTTGATGAGGGTCACGGTCCCCTGATGAGGCCATGTAGTTTCACAACGCGCCTCAAGTGTTCGTGGTTCCATGACAAAAGCCCACATGAAAATTCCGCACAGAGAAAAACCCACAGTCATAAATGCTCACATAGAAAAATCCTCACATTCACAATACTATCAAGTAACACACTCTTAATAAAGCGTTATGTGCATTCTACGAAGTGAAGTTCAAACATATTATACAAATTTGTTTTTTGTAAACTAGAAATAATGTGAGAATTATGTGAGGGTGTCAGATTGTGGTCTGGATTGAGCGAACTCAGGGTGGGATCCAGTCGCTGGTCCGTGCCGTTACGGTAATCAGCCTTTGGGCCTCATGAATGACAAGGTGTTTCGTGATAACCTTACCAAGAATTCTGGTTGTGTAGAAAAGTAGTATTTGCCACATCGAGAAACTTTGCGGTCCTCGTCAGTAAGTCATCAATCTGTGGAAGGCTGTTATTTATTTATTTAGTGTTCTGTCTGACGACAGGTCCATATGAACAGGATCCTTCCATCCTTTTCTCGGACTGGGACCTGTTCATATACGTTCTTGGCAGATGATCCAGAAGTGGTTTGCCATTGCCTTCTTCTGTGTGTGAATGGAGTAATTGTTGGGATGCCACGGAGAAACCGGGGAAGCCCCCGGAGGAAAACTCCGTGTTGCCTAGACCACGGCCTTGCCCAACACAAGTTATAAATTCGGGCACCGCCGGGAATCGAACCCGAGACCCCAGGATTACAAGGCCAGCGTTCTAACCGCTAGACTACCGTGGTAGTGGAAGGCTGTAGCACTACTTTTTTTAAGTTTAGGAACATTTTTCGACATTACCATACCCGTAATGTCGAAGTTGGTGAACAGCCTGTAGCCCAGTTTCGTTACGTCGAAATGCGGCCTGATTGCGTCTGATGCAACCGTCTGGTTCTGGTCCCTCCTCCTGCCCCCACTTCAAAAGATCATTGTCTTACACCCGCAGGTGGCACTGACCTCCCACCAAGAACGGTATCGTAACAGAGCCTTGCCGGTCTACTTTACGACATATTACACAATAACATTGGAATATGTAAAACTATGCGACAGTTTGAAACTTTAACTTACGAAATGCAATTACCCGTGCCCATGATGATGGAGATAATTTTCATACGTTTGGAAATTTATTATTTATCTTTCCTGTCATTCGACGCTGTATAGCCTGAGCTGTTGATTAAATAATTTAATAAATCGTGTGTAAGTAAATTTACTTTCTGTGCTACGAACGAGGTAAATAGTTTTTTTTGTGTGTTCGACATGTTTATGCCGATGTAAAATTGCTGTAGCAACGAAACAGAATACTATCTTTCTGGTGAAATTTCGTGCATGGAAGGGGTTAAAATTGATTATTTTTGAAGATGGCTGCTTTGCGTGATG